TTTAATGAGTCTGAGTCCCCATAACTCCGCCGCTGGTTGCTTGCGGAACTTCTACTTCTATTAAAAAATGGTATCTTATAAGAAGATATGTCATGCCAAATTTGGCTTAAACAGACTTCCTCATTTAGAAGTTATTTAAAAAATTCGAATTTTTTTTAAAATTTGTAACGCCCTATATTTCGAAAATGAAGCGTGTCTGGAAAAAAAATATATTTGTTTGTTTTTTTTTTTTTGAGGAATATCCTTAAAGTTTGTCGACTTAATCCTGAAACACCCTGTAGATTAAATAAATAAAACGTCTTGTTAACGTACTTGACCATATCAGCATTATTATGTAGATGATATTATTATATTATGATAAAGTGATAGATTATATTATATTGATATATTGTAATATGTACGTAATGTTTAAACATTTTATATTATAATTACTTTAATTTCGATTGTGTAGCGTTTCACAGGCTGAGGATGGGACAAAATTAAGGTTACGGAACTAGTAGCAATAAATATAGATATTTAATAGACTTTCTTATTTGATTTTTTGAAGTGCAGCAAAAATAACATAATTAAGGCTTATAATTGCCTACTTCCGTCGTTTTTCATTGAATGTCTTAAAAAAGATGAATGTTGCACAAAAACTTTTGTTCTGAGTCAAAGCTTTCAACCCTACTCACTACTAGAGAAAGAAAAACCGATTCTTCGCAAATCCGCCCTCTACCTCAAACCATCATCGGCAGCGACCTATCCGGAAACCGAAATTACTTTGGCATTTAACTCGCGAAATATCTATCAGTATTCATTACCCCGAATTGAAATGTCGCTTAGCGCGCTATCTAGCTCCGTTTACGTTGTCGTGTACAATCACAAAACACCTTAAACCAATTCCGTCGAGATGAACAAATTGACGCAGATGGGTGAGGAGTGTGTATCCACTAGACAGATCCTCTATCTAATTTCACTTATTTCAGTTGAATATCATTTCTCGGATCCAACTACATTCCTAATCTGCAGGAAGGGTGTTAAACTTGAGATCAATGTCTAATTTACAGCAGGTTCTCCTCTATGTTCAGAAATGTGAGTAGAGGAGCTTTACGTTCAAGAAAATAATCAACAGAAACTCCAAAGCGATGTAGCGCGACTCTGTCATACTACATTCTATAATTTCATATGCACTAAACTATATTAAAACGAGTATTATTGGCAACCTCAAAAAACACACAAGCAAAAATAAGTATGGGTTACAACAGTGAATTCTAACAAATTTTCTCCTAAAAATGATTCCTGAAAATTGTACAATCTTAAAAGAAATGCAGTTTCAGCTACAAATTATACAAAATTCTGACATCTTAAGAATGTGACATCGTTTTATTAGCATAACTTTGCACTTAGTTAAAAAGTTTATTTCGCCTAGTACGAAGTCATGCTTTCATAGTACCACAAATTGCTCTTTGTCAGTAAGTACAATATAATGCTTTATGCCAGTACTTAGACATTCAATAGCAATGACATTTATAGCATGAAATATACTTGGTAAGCTAGATTAAATGTAGCTGTAAGTTAATATTCTTATTGTTTAATTTCAGATTTATGTGTATACATGGTAATTTCAGGTTACTAAATAGATCACAGTGTGTTAAAATTAATAATTGTTCATTTTCCTTTATAGCTGTTACGTCAGGTGTACCACAGGACTCACCCCTTGACCCACTTTTGTTTTCAATACACATATGTGATATTGCTTCTGTTTAGTACCTATTCACACATTTCCAATGTTTTGTGTAACTGTTATTAAAATTATTGTCAAAATTTTGTTAAACCACCTTAAAACTATAAATAAATAAACTAAATAAACTAATTGAAATGCAAATAATGAATCAGGCAACCAATTCAGTGGGAGAGCCAACGGGTGGCATTTTTGAAATTTTACATGTGCATTTAACTGTCGGTGGTATTTCTTAAAATTTCTATTTAAATAATGGTAACTCTTAACATTTTCTTTGCAAAATAAAGGATATTTTTATCGAACGTAATTATAAATACAATGTAATTACCACAAAGAAAAAATAATGATATTTGTAAATTTCTATGCCATTAGTTCTTTTGGCTTGGTCAGTGAAGAATATGGAAGATATATTTTTTTCTTGAATGTAGATGCCACCACAATATCAAAAATATTTCCTGACATGCGAATTCTAGGGTTCTTATCTTATTGGCAGTGTTTTTCTATATCCCCGCCATTAATTTTAGAGAAATTGGTGAACGAAATCAGGGAATTTTTATCAATCTACATGAAGTATTCAAACGTACCTGATTAAATATATTTTTTACATTTCAACACCCGAATCTCGAAAGCTAGTGATTTTAGTCTTTTAGGACCGTTTGCACCATTGTTACTTATTTTTTAGACTCCAAAGCAATATTTAAAATACCTGTGAAAAGTATAAAAAGAAGTATTGCTGCTTAGTCCTTATTTCTTTAAGATTTGGTTTAAAATCATTCAAATGATATCCTGAGTTATGACACTGACTTAGAAAACACGTATATTATTATTTGTAATTAGTTGTCTGTGGTATATATTTCATCGAGTGTCAATTTCTGGCTGTATCATGATAATATAAATAATATTAATTCCGAATGACGGATTATTGTTTAAATTTTTATCATTTCATCTTGGATTAAGTGCTTATTATATGGATGTTGATAAATAGGAAACATCCTGAATGTTACTTTTTTATCATTTTGTCTTGTTTACTTCTATACTACTACTATTTCGTATAAGCTATTAAAACCCACCAGTAGTTAAATATAAAAATGTATGAAATGTTTCCAGACTATAACATCTACTCTCTCAAAGACAATTCTACAAAATTAGATATGAAATTCAGACGGGCTCTCCGCTGGTCACGCTAAATTAACAGGGGAGTTTTGTAGCAATTACAAAATGTTGCTTTCGTTGCTGAAGCCATTAACTATATGGTTTACAACTACGTGATCCGCAGGGCTATTGTCATACCGGTTGTAATTATTTTGTTTGCGCAGATAATTTAACTGTATAATTAACTGAAACACAGTACTATATTACGTTATTTCAGAACTGTTCAATATCTAATCACAAAACCAATTGTTTCAGTCGTAGTTACTGTAATTAGTGTACTGCTTGAAATTGTGATAATTTCTAGAACATGCTTTGTAATTAAATGTTTACATATAGTTCTAGAATGTATAAAAACACAGTACAGAGATTCAGAAATAAATAAATCATCAAGCATAAAATGAGATTTTAACCATACAAATTTTTATTGTTTTAGTTACACTTCAATAGCTTTCTTGTTAGTCTTTTTTTAAATAATTCGTATGCTCAGTATTTGTAATACTCCGATGTAGGTAACTAATGATTATAGATTGGGGTTTTCGTCGGCTAGTCATAGGCGTGTTCGTGGTAAAGAAATAAATAAACAGGTAGGTATAAATAAAAATAAATAAATTTGCGTACTTTTTTTTATCATTTTCTTATACATTAATAATAATAATAATAGTTTATTAAACTAAATAACACTGCAATACAGATAGAACATAGCAGTAAAATAAAAGTCTTGTAGGTACTAATAATGAAATAGTCCGCTTCATTACCAGCTTCTACATTTCTGTTGATTTTATTATAAAACAAAATTTGACCATTGACTAATTTAATATGTGAAAACTAATTTAATAGGTGCTCTCTTTTCCCTCTTTCCCCATTGACACATATTAAACGAAATCTTGTTTTTCGAAAGGTCAAATACTTCATATTTTTCATACTAATTCGTTGGTTTAAAATCTGGGGATCGTAGTAGTCACTGAATGAAAATATTTTGGCCTCGTCCGATTCAATGATTTGGAAATAATTCAGCATTTAAGAATTTAATCCTCATTATAACACAACGATGTAATAGAAAAATGCAATATTTAAATAATCAATTATTCCCAAACCGCTGGATTTGACGATTCCAAAATTTGCTTGTACAATGGCCATCACGATTTCCAGATTTTTAATTAAATGAATGATAGTATGAAGTATTGCTTATCCCGAAGAAATGAATAATATTGAATAATATTGAACATTATAGAGTTAGAATTCACCTTTCACTTTCAACAAAATGAGAAATGGTAAAATTATTATAATATATTTAATAGTTAAAATATTTTTATATTTCTTAGTAACGCCCCTGACTTCTCACACAAATGTCAGTACAGTACAATACATTTCGGAAAGAAAGAGTGTGGTGCAGAAAGGGCACATAAAAAGTGGAAGTGAAAGAAAAATGCCCATTAAAACGAATCGGCTGTTTTTTGCCTCGACAGTACATCAATCGCTCGAGTTAAAATTAGTTCTTTCTTAACTGTCACCGTTAAAGGGAGAGCCCAAAATGGTTTCAGTTGAAATGGAATTTTTAATTTTCACCCTTCAATTCTATTAAAAATCTCTATACTGTACGTCGTACTAATCAACATCAATTCTCCTTTAATGTCTAATTGAATAACATTATTTAAACTTTTTAGAAAATTATCCATATAAAAAAAAAACAAAAGATGTGGGAGAACTAGTACATTGGATATAATATTCTCTAGGAACAAATGGTAACATCAAACACTTAAGAGTATCATGTGAGAATACAACTCTCGACTCCAGCAGTTCTCAATATGTTTGCACCTTTTTGTCGAGTAAGGTAAATATTTGTTTATTTTTTTTAATAAAATAACACTGAGTTGTTCTCAAAAACTAATTTTCAAACCTGCAAACACCCTAAAATCCCTACATGACCTTAAACTTCCAATTATCTTACCAAAAAGAAGTTACTAAGTAGAGTTCTGTCATATTTGAACATCTGCGACGGGCAACTCCACTAAAGTTCTATAAATGGTATAAGTTACGAGCTTAAACTTATTTAATTAATATTCTTATCACGCCGACTAGGAAACAGAGGTACAAGAAGGTATGGCAAACTTTGATAGGAATTTACCTGGAAGCCGTCATAAGTCCAGGAGCCGAATTTCATGACACAAGTTTGCTCGTCGAAGGGAAAATATTCTACATCTATCTCGCAGGACGACTTATAAATTGCTGGAGGCTTCCATTCTACCCTTCCAGTGTAATTCAAGGTAGCTTTCGTGGCCAGCGTCACCTCGAAGTTGCCATCGGCACTGGAAAAGAAATTTCTTTAAGTTCTAAAGTTTCCACTTTAAAGTAATGTACCCGATATTATTTCAAAGAAAATATTTCTTATTCAAACTATAATCGTATTATTAATATTGTGTTCCATCAAAAGGACCTTTAAATAGGTCATAAATTAATAAAATGCTGCACTGTCGGGACAATTTTTTTAAGATGGATATTTCTTTTCCTTAAAGGAATAATCAATTATTACAAGAAATAATGAAAGAACGAGAAATTTGGCTTGTGTATTTTTTCTCAAAATGGCAGTCAATATGCAGAGGTAACTTTCTATAACTAATGATTTTTAACTCAAAAGCTACGATAAAGATTTCTATGAAAAAAATTTGTAGAACAAAATCATTTTAGAATATGTTAAACAGTCTAAAGAAAAGATTTACAATGAAAAAAAAAATGGAAATTTGATTTTAAATTTTAAAAATTGTTTATAACAAACTGACGGTTTTTGAGCTTTGTAACTAACAAAAGATTCAGCGCTGCGAAAAATATACGGAATCCAAAAGTTACCCAGGCTATCTCGACGTCATGCTCCCAAGTCTACAGCGATCCGACTAGCTTGAAGGAAACATTATCGCTCTAGAAATTTTGACGTGTTGACTCTAAATCGTTACTGATGGTATTCAGAAGTACTGGGTTGCTGTAGAGAAAGTATTAAGAGTTAAAAAAGACGAGAAGAGACGATCTAACTGCTCGCCGACTATCTTAAAAAGCACTGTTGATCCAGTAACCACCAGACACAAAAAAGTGCTCTTCAACAATCTTAAGAAGCACTGTTGATGGAACGGCAAAAACAAACGGCGTAGGTGCTCGTTAACTATTCCGAAAATGACTGATAAGCCGCAACTACCCATAAGAACTCTTCAACTATTCTAAGAAAGACTGTTGAAGAAGCGACGGCAATAAACGATGTAAGTACTAGGTAAGTATATTGAAAAAAATTGATGATGAAGCAACTACCCACCAGAAAAAAATTCTCCTCAAATGTTTACTGAAAAGGACTGTTGAAGAAGCGGTGACAAGAAACGACTTAAGTACTAGCTAACTATAAATGACCTTCAAATGTAACCTCTACATCAACACCGTGGTCAGAAGCAGATTGCTTGTTCTGAGCTCTGAAACTTTCATGTTTAACATTTTTTTATATTAGACTGGTTTTAGAGTTTTTATTAAGAACAATAAATGGAATTTGTTGGTTACGATGAAACCGTTAGTTTTGTTTATTATAAATAATTTTAGAATTTTAAATCAATTTTGCAAATTTTTCTTCAAAAATTGTTTTAGAATTTGTTGACACATTTTGAGATTATGTTCTATAAAAAAAATTTTCAGAGAAACCTTAGTTTCTGAATTATCAAAGTTTTAATAGGTTGTTAATTCTGCATATCTGCGGCCATTTTGAAGTCCGCTATCTTTATTTTTTCAAAAACGCCACAGCTTCGTAAAAACTACACATATATATGTACAAAATGAGCCAAAGTAGAATTTCCTAGGTAGCTTCAATTTTTGGACATAGAAGGTAGTTTTCCTTTTGATCATTGAGATTTACTTCCATTATTCAATGTTCTACGTTGATAATTTACAATTCAATTTCAATTAAAACAATCTACATTATCTATTTTCAACCTCAAAAGAAAGGCCAAACACAATTTTTCTTCATTCCTCTTCTGGTCTTCTGTCTTTTCAGGCATTTCATTTATATTTAATCATTTTCAACATTTTTGGCTGCGTCCTGAAATTGTTCTTCATTTCGTTTGATTCTGTTTTCCACAAGAAAAACTTGGTCTACAAAGACCAAATTGCGAAATTCTTCTAAATCTATCTAAGATTGTTAGTAGGGTATTTTAACCGATTCTCAATCTCCCCCTCGTCTCACCCNCGCGAGTATAGATATTAAATTATAGAATTACCGCATCACTAGTTAGTGGCTCGTATTAGTATTACATTAACTATCTTTCCTTCCTTCTCTCCATACTAATACGACAACAATGAAAGTGCACCATTTTTCTGTACTGGTAAGTGGCCAAAGCATTTACAAACCTTTATTTTATTTAATACAGTCCACTATAGCAATTTTTCATACAAAGATATTATTTAAATAATCTATTCACGATTCATAACTCTGTGTTTGTAGTTAGTAAGGACTTTCAGTGATGCGCTGAAGGTTGTTAAATATTTTCGATGAACATTTACCATACGTATCATGAGTAGCACTTGACATTATTTGAATATGAAAATTTAAAAAACTCATGTAACATAAATATACGACATGATTTGTGTCATTCACTAATTAATTCGAGTATGTTAATCCCAAATATAAAATTTCAGTTCAGTAAAAAAGAAATAATAATACAGAGTGGTGCGTAATAAAACATGTAATTTCCAGAAGTTATGCCTGTTCAAAATTAATTCATACAATTAAAATAGCTGCTAATTCTAATCTAATAGTATATAGGCGGGGTATAAACTTTAATAATGTATCAATTTTCGGTCGCCAATCTGGCGCTCGACGTAGGGATGGTCTGATTGGAGAGATTTTGGTGTCGTTGTGTATGTTGGAACTTTCTGCTTCAAATACAAGTGATCCGAGCATTCCACGATTACGGGGGCGAGCCTCTACATTTTACTTAACTTAACTTAACGTAAAGGTTTCTCAGGCATATAGGGTAGGGCGTAAATTTCCGTGTAGAAGGAACAAATCAATGTATGATTTTCACAGCAAGGGGAAATTTGTAGACATTTGGTATATCGATAAGGGTATGCAGGTCGGACGGTTGTAGCCTTTTCGGTGATTTTCATAGTTGTTCTATGATTATGTGAGCAGATGCTAGAAATATATAAAGGGTGGGATATTTCATCGATTTATCGTTTTTCAGCTACAAGGCGATTCTTAATTTTCGACAAGACTGACAACCTTATACAGGGTGTTTCAGAAAGACCTCCCGTAAATTCAGGGGGTTATAGTACGACAAAAAATAAGAATTTTTTGTCTTATAAACTATATGTCTATCTCCTCCTGTTTCCGAGATACAGAGCGACAAAATAAATTTTTTTAAATAGAACTTTTACGAAAATTTCCGGTGCGAAATATTTTTATGAAATTTGTTATTCTGGGGTTTTTATGGACGCCAAATACGCTGATGTAATTGTTTTTTGTATATTTCATAGAGGGCACTAGTTACGCTACATTCCTATTACATTTTAGTTTCTAATTTTTTTAAGGTTAGGTTTTTTTACCATTCGGGCTCCAATTTCTAATGTACAATTCTATTTTCTAAAAATAATGTACTCTTGTTAGAACTTCCTAATGTGGACGGTTTTCGAGAAAAAAGGCTTTTAATTGAACTCTTACAATATTACGGTGAAGAAAATAAGTGACTTTTCTCAAAGTAGGCTTATCTCAAAACTTATTGATGGATGTCTCATAAACAACGCATACATTCTCAGTAATATTTTAAACTCTAATTGACTTTATACCAAAAATTTAGTGATTACAGTGACTGTAGTTAGTAATGACTAATTACAGTCACTAAAATTTTGATACAAAGTTAATTAGAATTTAACCTATTACTGACAATGTATGCGTTGTTTATGAGACATTCGTCAATAAGTTATGACATAAGCCTATTTTGAAAAAAGTTACTTATTTTCTACACCTTAATATTGTAAGAGTTCAATTAAAAGCCCCTTTTCTCGAAAATCGTCCATATTAGGAAGTTCTAACAAGAGTACATTATTTTTAGAAAATAAAAGTGCACATTAGAAATTGGATCCCGAATGCTTCCTAACCTAACCTCAAAAAAATTAGAACTTAAAATGTAATACGAATGTAGCATAACTAGCGCCCTCTATAAAATATACAAAAATAATTAGGCCAGCGTATTTGGCGTCCTTAAAAACCCCAGAATACCAAATTTCATAAAAATATTTCGCACCGTTTGGAAATTTTCGTAAAAATTCTATTTAAAAAATTTTATTTTGTCGCTCTGTATCTCGAAAACGAGAGGAAATAGACATATAGTTCATAAGACAAAAAATTCTTATTTTTTGTCGTACTATCACCCCCTGAATTTACGGGAGGACTTTCTGAAACATCCTGTATATCTCTTTTTCACTAAATATAAGTACATACATGCCATAATAGAAATAATTTTGTGTTTATTTTATTTACCTTTAAGTTGTCAGTGCTTGTCTAAAAACATAAATACATTCATTTATAGGTATACCAGTAATGACGTGTTTTATTGTATCCATAATAAGAACGTTAATTTCAAATGTAAATGCTGTATTTTTTTTCAACAAAGACAAAACACATATTCAGAACACAAATTCTTAAAATCTAATACATATTAGTAAATCATTTAATTTAATTAGTTCGTTAAATGAAGTAATTTGTGAAAGAGACCATCAGGATGATTTTCTAGTAGCTGTAAAGGCAAATACCTAATGAATTCAGTAAGTCCGACAGATATAAGCAGTTCCTGCTTACTTTTAACGGCCAATTTAACAAAGGAATTTTAATTAAATTCTTCGACAACAATCAAATCTACCATAGATACTTTAGCAACTGAACTTGATTTAGTTAAATCGTACTCAAACTTCATTTGAGGAACCGATCGTAAATGCTGTGTATTATAGATTTATATTTAGGCAACTAATCACTATTATCAATTGTGTTGGTACTGACATATGAAATTATTGCAAATGTAAATATAATGATAGTTCCTAATTCTGAATGTTTCAATAAAATGAAGTTTTGAGAAATCCAGATGAAATATGATAAAGGAAAAAGTAGTAATAGTTTTGTACTAATACATTAGCATCAGTCGGACGCAATAGTATCTAATTGGATATATTAAATTTTGAACCTTATATAAGCATTACATCGGAATGCGCATGCGTCTGACTGTTGGAGACTATTTTGAATTGCTCAAGGAACAAAGCTATTAAGTACTGACTTTTATAAGTACTT